TCGCGTGTGTGATACCAGCCGCACAAGCGCAGAGTGATAACATGGGGACTCTGGGCGGCGAGTGGGCACGAGAGGACGTGCCAGCCGGAGAGGGGGCAGCTCGCGGCACAGGGGCCCGTGGCGTGGGCACAGGCATGCCGGACGTCGCAGGCCGGTCGGAGCACCGAGTTGGAGACCTTTGGCACAGGGCGGGGGAGAAAGGCTGGCGTTGGTGAGGGCACCGGGCCGCGAGAAGCCTTCCGCCTCTCCTGAGATGCCCACCGTCAGCCCCAGGGGTCCACAGAATGGCGTTAAGGAAACCAGACAGAGGCCGATCTACTTTGGGTGGACAACTCTGGCCACACAGCCGAGAAGAGCTCTCACGGCTGGACGGCTCTCGGAGGCGGGGGGCAGCGATGAGGGGCTTCTGGGCCAGCGCTGTGTCCCCAGGGAGGGAGAAGGCACCCTCGGGGCATTAGCGGGGCGACGTTGGCAGGAGGGTTTGTAGGCTGAAGGTGAGTGGGGGGTTCTGGTGTGAGAAGTCGTCATCTGGGATTATGGGGTGCTCTGTGCCCATGCAGGTGTTTCCCAGCAGCGTCCACTCTGCCAGGCTGGCCTCAGCTGCCCCCTGCGTTCCCCTTTGTCCACACTGTATAAATCAGGCTCTTATTCTCGCCTACATTCTTGGAGTCTTCTCTTAATCTCTTCCCATCCGCCCTGCGCATGGCTGGAGTCCCCAGGCCAGCTGAAGGGCCGGCCCGGCCCGCCCGTGGTCTCGGGTTGCACTGGAGAGTGTCTGCATTCTTCAGTTGAACTATGAATATTCATTGCTTGAGGACTGGTCAGGCTTTTTCCCTTAAATGGTCCAAATTTTCAGAGAAAGCCAGGCTTATTATACATGAACTAAAGAGTCACAAGGTCTTTAGGCAGGGGAACAGAATTCTTGCTTTGAGGGGAAAGACAGGGAAGTGGTGTGTGTCCAGGGGTGACCCAGGGTGACCCCAGCTTTTCCAGTCACATGTCTGCGGCTGCGTCTTCAGGGCCCTGCGCCACCCCGGGCTCTGGTCTGGCCATGGCAGTCCTTTGCAGACCCCACTGCTCTACCTGAAGTGCGTGCCCCTCACGGCTGCCTCCTACCCCAATTGCGGGGGCCCCGCCGTGTCCCCTGTGCAGCCAGGCGCCTCCAGACGCTCCTTACCTTTCCGTGGCTTTCCAGTACCTTTCCCTGGACAGGTCCTGTCCCTTCACACCCCACTGCCTTAGGCCCGCTCCAGCCTGCAGGGGGTGCTGGTTTGTGATCCTTTTTTAAATTAAAATTCATTTACAACTGTCCATTCTTATCCACCTGTTCTGCATCCGTGGATTCCACCTACCACAAGCCAGAAACACACACTAATTCGGCCTGCGATGGTGCTTCTGGACTGAAGGCGACAGCCCCAGGTTAGGAGTTCACCAACTGTAGCCACAGCAGGACAACTGTCCCCAACATCGGCACTGGATTTGGCGCTGAAGGTCCCCTAGAGGTTGTCGATAGTGTGGGCGGGGGTGGAGGTTCTGTACGGACCTGACACCGTTTTATAGAAAGGATTTCAGAACCAGTGGATTTGGGCTCCTTGGGGACCCCAGACACCCCGCTCCAGGGGGGACTCTTAGCTAATGGGCTCCCCTGAGCCTCTCTGTGCCTGTTTTCTCGCCTGTCAAATGAGGACGAGAGACCCCGAGGGCGTAGTTGTGAGGCCCACTACCCACAGCGCTGAGAACAGGCCCGGTGTTAATCCTGCGGCCGGCACGCCCTCACCACTGGCCAGAACCCTGGGGCTCCATGCGCCTGGAGCTCAGACTCTGGTGGACGTCAGTCAGGTGACGACGTGTATGCAGCGAGTGAGCCAAACGCTTCCCGCAGGCCAGGCCAGCACCGTCGGCGAAGCACACGGGCTTTTCTGCAGAAAGACGCCTGCGTGTTCACGGCCGTAGCCTCCAGATGCAGCCCCAGCGGGTGGGCCGGGCAGGGGCCCCAACCAGGGCTGCCCGGCCACTGTCCCCAGGGTCGCACTGCTGGAAAGAGGCTTGGTTATGAGAGGAGAAATCCAGAGGCTGCCGCTTATTCTCACTGGTGTTTGTTAACAAATTGAGGGTTTTGTCATTGAGGGGATGGATGCATGGATGGATAGGTGGGTGGATGAATAGGCACATAGATTAGGCTGTGATTAGTGGACAGAAAGATAGACACACACAGAGACAGATGGATGGGTAGGCAGGTGCAGAGGCAGGTGGGTGGGAGCGGGGAGGTGGAGGCAGACAGGGACTGACTGGGTCTCTGCGGCAGCTGCCGGGCTCCTCAGCCGCTGTCCCTGCAGGCTCTGCCCCCGTCTCTGTCCTGCACTGCCAGCCATGTCCACCTGGTCCTCTGAGGCCTGCCTCTGGGGCCCTCAGTGGCGCCCAGCGAGCTCACTGCCTGGGAAGCCTCCTCAGCAGACAGCACCCTGCCGGGCTTCCCTTCAGCCCGGCCTCCTCCCCGCCTCCCTGGGCTCTGCCCGGCCTTCCGGGGCCCAGCTCCCGCCCCAAGTCCCCCGGGGCCCCAGGGCCCTGGCTGGGCTCCTGCTGCTCTGGCGGCTTCTCCCAGGACCAGGCTGCGTCAGCTCAGCACTTACCTGGCGCCCTGCCTTCCTTCCCTTGCGGGGCTCCCTTGGTCCTCCTGAGCCTCTGCTGCCCCCGTGTGGCGCTTCCCAGGAGGCACACCCCAGGCCACCCGCAGGGCTCATTCCTGCTCCCAGAGAGGTAAGGAGTGGCCTTCTGGCCTCTCCAGTGGCCACTGGGCGGCAGCCCTCCTCCTCCCCCTCCCTCCCCAGCCCCTGTGGTGACAATGCCCTTGCTGCTGCCCTCTGGGTTCAGTCTCTCCAAGCCCCTGAGAGGCCCCACCGGGTGCCTGAGCTCAGCTGCTGTCCCTGGGGGCTCTCCGCAGCCAGAGTGGGCCTGCCTCTCCCTGAGTGACCACGCCCAGCGATTTCCTGGGGGAGGCAGAGGCCAACTTCGGTGAGCCTGACCCTTGTCCTGGCACGGGCCCTTCAGGCCGGGCCCGTGGGCCCAGAGGGGAGCCTCTGACCGGCCCGCCCGGCTCCTGGCCCTCTGCCCGCCTCAGGCCTGTCCTTGCCGGCCTGTGGACCCTGCCTGCTGCAGGAGAGCGTGCCCACGAGGAGGAGCGGGGTCGGGCTGGGCAGCAGGGTAAAGATGGAGGAGGCAACGTAGGGGCCCAGGGGAGCCACGAGGAAAAGAAGGGGCCTCGCTTCCCAGCCTCGGACTCACGCCAGGGCGTTGGGGACTCGTGGAGCCGAGGTGCGTGCAGACGCTTGCAGGGGCCGTCAGGGGCCTGTCCTCGCAGCCTGCCCGGCCCTCCTGCCCCTTGGCTGTGTCCCCACCCACAGTGACTGACACGGTGGCAGCTCTCAGCCTCAGTGGCCCTGTTCTGGGCCACCCCCGTGTGGCCGGGCGTTCACCCACCAGGGGACAGGTCCCTCTGGACATTTTACTGGGGACGGCTACCCTTCCCGCCCCCTCACTCAGCCCATTGGAGAGGGACTAAGAGTCTGCTTTGTTTGTGAATAGCCAGACCCCCTGAGAGCATGCAGTCCTGGGGTGCTGGGGTCAGTTTCACACTAACACGTTTAGCTAATGACTGCCTGGTCATGTTAGTGCCCAGATGTGTCCTGACCGGGCCCCTCTCGTAGGGGTCCTGGAGATTGAGGGGACAGTGGAGGGGACGGGAATTGGGAGGAAGTGGAGTTGCAAGGGAAAGAGGAGGGGGCGGCGTGAAGTCTGGAGGTCGGGTAGGGAGGCCTTGGCGCTTGGGGCTGAGAGAAGATAGCGTTCCGGGCACGCACATCTGTTCTTTGGCTCGCCCCTACCTCAAAGCCACTGTGCAGCTCGTGTGTGACCTGGAAGCTGGGCGAGGGCTGGTGCATTGCCCGAGGGGCCGACACATGGGCACAGTGGTGCCCAGAGACCGGCACCGGGAGGGGCTCCGTGGTGCAGGCGGGCGGCCCTGGCTGCTCTTGACAGACCCACGCGGGACCCCACCCCGACCTGGCTGAATGTGGGCAGTTCAGACTGAGTGGCTAGTGGTCAGCCGTCTGGCTAGATAGCCTCGCCCCTACCAGCGTGGCCGCCAGCAAGCTTTTCCAGTACAGTAGGCTGCACCCCCACTTTCCGGAGAGGACAGAGTGCAGGACGGGGCAGCTGCCCGGCTCACACCTGCAGCGGTCAGGGCTCGCCGCGCTAGCTGGTCCCCACCTGCCCTTTGAGGCCCTCTGTGCACCCCAGGTCCATGCTGTTTTTCTTTTTTAAATATTTATGCACACAGAACTGGGGTACAGCCAGAGGTGCAGGAGTGAGAGGCTTCACCAGAGACGGAGTGGGGAGCAGAACAGGATGATGAAGCCCACTGCTGAGGGGCGCAGCGGGGAGACAGCAGGGGTCTGCGGCGCCCTGTGGGTCACCTCCGGGGCGGGGATCGAACTCGCACCGAAGCGGCCACGGCCAGCTTGCAGTGCGGCGCTTTAACCCGCTGCGCCACCAGGGAGGGCCCCGGTTGTTTTTCTAAATAGGGGGTGATGGTCCCAGCCTATGGAGGGGAAGGAGGAAGGTGACTGTCCACATCTATCAGGCATGAAACCATTTATTATTCTTTTCATTGAGCTAGGCAAAGAACAGGGAATTTTCAAAGGAAAGAAATACATCTGCGTTTAACGTGGAGTTAGGCTCTCCGTTGAAAGAGGCCCAAAGAGCTCAGACTCCCAGCTGGGACTGTGGTCTGGGCAGCTGCTGGCTTGAGCTCGGGGGGGTGGGGTGGGGGTGCAGAAAGCTCCTGGTTGGCTCGGGGCCTGGAGGAAGACAACAGACGGGCAGCTTGGCAAAGAGAGGCTGCCGGGCCTGGCTTGCGCCCATGAGGCCTTCTGGAAGAAACCGAGAGGAAGGCGCTTCTGCAGCCTGCTAGTAATGCCCACGCCATGCGCTCTCCGGCCGGGTCAGTGAGTCTTCGTTTTCAGGGTCTGTTTGTGCTGTTCTACTATGGAGCCCACCCACTCCGCGGTCTTCTGCTTAGCCTCCTCCCAGCTGAGCAGCGGCTTATAGCCCAGGTCTCGCTGGGCCTTGCTGTAGGAGAAGGTGATCACGCTGTTGGTCAGCGTCACCCAGTGGCGGTTCATGGGAGGCTGATACCTGTAGACGGGGCTGAGCAGGAGGCTCACCATCTCCATCAGGAAGGCCAGCCAGTACTTCAGAAACAAGGGCAGGCTCCTTCCCGACTGGAGGGAGAACCCCCACTCTTTGCTCATGTTGTAGTTGATGTCGTCGTAGCTTTGGTAAGGCGTGTCATCTGAGATGTAGTAGAACTGTCCTTGGACCTGGGGGGCCTTCTCGGGGTCCCTCAGGGCCCTCAAGGCCAGAATGTGGGCCCAGGCCACGTTGCCCACGTACACTGGGTTGGTGACGGAGAACCTGCTGTGGTTGGTCAGGACACGGTCATTCTTCAGCGCCTCGCTCACGGCGTAAGAAATGAACTGGCTTTGTTCCCCGTAGATGTACATGGGCCTCAAGGCGCAGGTGGACAGGACGCCGCCGTTCTGGAGCCCCCACCCGCTGGCCGCCAGCACAGCCTTCTCGGCCAGCTTCTTGCTGACCGGGTAGGGGGCCGACCAGGTGGACTCGTGCAGCTCTTCTTCACTGCCGTTCATGATGACCTCCCTGTAGGAGTTGGGCCCGGCCACCTCTATGCTGCTGGTGAAGATGAAGACGGGAACACTCGCCTGCACGCAGGCCTCCAGCAGGAGCTGGGTACCTGCCGCAGGAGTGGGGTGTCATGACCCGGCAGCCAGCCTGCCGCGGACACCTTCCCGCTCTGCCCCCACCCAGGGGGCCAGACCGGGCAACTTCTGCACAGAACAGCGTGCAGTCTGGGTCCTGAGGCCTGGAGGCCCCGGGGCCCCGAGGTCCCTGAGACTCTCAGACCCTGAGGCCCCAAGGTCCTGAGGCCCTGAGACCCCGAGACCCCCAGGTCCCGAGACCCTGAGACCCCCAAGGCCCCAAGGCCCCGAGGCCCCGAGACCCCCAGGTCCCGAGACCCTGAGACCCCAAGGCCCCGAGGCCCCGAGACCCCCTGTTCCCAAGACCCCGAAACCCCAAGGCCCCGAGGCCCTGAGAACCCGAGGCCTGAGGCCCTGAGGCCCTGAGGCCCTGAGACCCCGAGCCCTGAGACCCTGAGGCCCTGAGACTCCGAGGCCCTGAGGCCCCGAGACTCCGAGGCCCTGAAGTCCTGAACTCTGGCCACGCTGTGGCCACTGAAAACATGCAGCCACAAGAGATTGACATGTGGTTCTGGAGAGCGAGACCTTCCAGGCCTTTGGGCTTCAATGACCTGTGTGTGTTCTTTGACTTTTGGAAAAGGACACAGGACTCAGGACTCAGCTCACATTTGCTGAGTTAGGATATTTAGCAATATTGTTTGTCATCCCACCACCCCGTTAGAGCAGAAATCTGAAATTAAAAGGTGAGGGCTGGTTCTCAGACGAGGGACAGTCCTCCCGTAGCCACAGGGCTCACGCCGCCGTGTATGGCAGTGAACTCTTGTCAACATGCGCTCGGCTGTGGCTGTATTTCTCTGTGTTTTGAGGATCAATAAAAACTGTTACAGGAGCTTTGCTTTGGGAGTCCCTGAGCAGGTGAGCAGTGGGCTTGGGGCAGAAGCTGGAGATCCAGGCTCCACGCCTGGGTGAGTGTCCCTACAGCCTCTCCCAATTCGGGGTATGACCTGGTTAAAAGTGGGGGTGATAAGCCCGGCTTCGCGCTCCCCAGCTGCCACGGCCTTGGGCTGCAGCCTGGAGGGAGCAGGGAGGAGTGCGCCCCCTGGTGGCTCATTCTGGAGTGGGCGGGCCTCAGAGGCCCTTGGCCTGTGCAAAACATTTCTCCTTGGAGTGATCCAAGGTGCTTTCCCGTGAGAAGGAAGGGTTTCCACGGAAGTACCGTCGCTCTTATATTTTGTGTTTTTATTCTTTTTAGGGCCTTTGTGCAACTTGATGGGGGGGGGGGGAAGCTGACCTCGGCAGTGGTGTTGGTTCCTGTAGGCTGGCACCTGTAACGCCCTGGGGGTAGGCCCCCCGCTGCTGTGGGGAGCAGCCCCGAGTGAGAATAATGAGAGGGACTGAAATGTTAACCTGGGTGATCTCAGCAGCCCCCTTGCAGTGTGGGGGTGACTGGGGTTACTGGAAGCGTCTTTTTTGGGACTGTGCTGTTATGTGCTGAAAAAAACCCAGTTGTTTCAGGAAGGAGACGTGTCAGGGCGAGTCGCCGGGCTGGGGAGGAGACGCAGGGCAGAGCGCAGGTGTCGTGGTCTTGCTGAGCGGCCGGGGCCAGAGGGGACCCCTGAAATTCCCGGCACACTCCTGAGGGGTTTAAGCTAATTCTTCCAATGAATGTGTCTGCGTTAAAGTAGATTAGACAGTGACAACACAGAACGCGTCACTGAGACGTTCCGGGGTACGGATCTGCATATGGGGTGCCAGGCTGGGAATTCCTCCTTAACAGGGGGCCCCGCGTTGCAGGTAACAGGTCACCATGGCTACTAAGAAAATACTAGAGGGACCCAGGTGCTGGGCCATTCTGCCCTTCCTGACTGCTGCGCCCCATTCTCCAGTTCTCGGGAGAGGCTCCCCTCTTGGGGGGCACCAGATGCTTGCATCTCCCTGGGTGATCCTGTGCAGGGTCCAGCCTGGAGCTGTGGCCCAGAGCTTATGCCAGACCCAGTGCTCCACGTCACACAGCCCTTTGTTCTTGGCCTTCCCAGGCGACCAAAGCCTTAGAGCTGCCCAGGCAGTGATGGCTGGGGGTGCCCCCGGGGGCCCCATGCGAGGTCTGCATCAAGCCCGGGGAGCGAGCACAGGGGCTGGGCAGCAGGAGGGGGGGCCTGGAGTTTCCCCACGAATGTTTGGACAGTGGACGGCTGCCCACTGTCCTCAGCCCCCTCAGTAAAGGCCGAGCTGTGAGTTCTCAGCGGCTAGCCAGGAGCGAAAGCGCTTGGCCAGGCCCCCGGGCGCTCATGAGGGCCTCCCTGCCCTCCCCCCCATCTCTTCCCCGGCCTCCCGGACCCGCTACCTTTCAGGTTGACGTTCATGATGACATCTCGGGGGACGGCATTCATGTAGTCGATGATGGAGGCCGTGTGAATGACGGCAGAGACGCCCTGGCAGGCCCTCTGGAGACATTGCTCATCCAGGATGTCCCCTTCCAGCAGCGTGAGCGTCACCTTTCCCTGCAGCTCTGCGTGAACAGGAGATGGCCATTGCGAGGCGATGGGCCTGGCCAGGCTGTCTGAGAAAGCCAGCACCTCACCCAGGGCTTCAGGGCAGAACAGGGGAGGGCGGGGAGGGAGAATGGTCCGTGGAAGGCTCAGAAATCGGAATGGTGTCATTTTGGGAGAGAGCAAGCATCTGTTCCCATCCATGCCAGTCCAAGAATCTGAGCCACAGGGAACCGAGTGGGCAGCTCAGGGTGTGGGGGCGGGGGGGGGGGAGATAGAAGAGATAAGAACTTGAACTTAATTCTGCAGAGCATGAGCAACTGTGTATGGGTTTGGGATGAGAGGAGAAACATGAAAAGTGCTGTGGGAAGCTGGCCTGGGCCTGCAGGGCGTGGGCTGGCGCAGGCATTAGAGAAAGAGGCCAGAAGGAGCTCACCCCCAGGCCAGGGCAGGAGGGCCTGGGGCCCTGTCAGCAGAGCCAGCGGCGAGGGGCACCCCTGGCTGGCCACCTCTAGCTGCGCCGTCCCCCCCAGGGTCAACCGCCAGGTGGCCAGAGTGCCAGGAGCTGCTGGAGCCCGGCGCTGCTTACCAGGCCCGTGCCTGCGGCTGATCCAGGAGGGAGCAAGACTTTGCAGACCCAGAGCCCGGAGGGAGCAGGGACAGGCAGGGTTCAGACAATGGGGGGTGTTCTCAGGATCTCTGGGCAGCCAGGCCCGCAGCAGGCCTCCTCCCCTCCCCACCCCGCGGGGGAGGGGGCAGGGAATTGTTTGGGGAAATGGCCGGACATAGTGGACTGCAACATTGCAGACTCGTGTGGTGAGAACTTAGGGCCGGCAAGGGCACCCGTGAGCACCTCCGCTGGGCTCTGGCCGCACTAGTCAGAGACCTCAGCAGGTGCTTCACTTCTGGAAAATTCAAAGGTGACACCCAGATGGGGCAAGCTGGTCTGACCTCCCCCCCAGCTCATTGGGAGTCTGGGGGTGCGGCCGACCTTTCTGTGGGACCCACGGCACCCCGGCCCTGGTGTGCGCCACAGGAGCTGCAGCCTGGGCAAGACCAGGCGGCCCAGCAGGCTCTGCAGCCGATTCCCTTGCAGTGGAGCAGGGCAGGGACATGGGGCTGGAGAGGGCTGGGAGCAGCAGACGCTGTCGCCCACTGCGTCAGTGCCCTCCTGCCGTCTCTCTCACGGGCACACACGTGTGTGTGTACACAGAGGCACATGCAGACCCTCCCCCCACGCACACACAGCCCTGGCCCTGTACCCCACTGTGACTGGAGCAAAGGGAGGCCTGGAGGAGCAGGCCCTCGGGTAGCGCCACCAGGTTCCTGGAGCTCAGTGGCCGCGGCAGGTGTCACACAGCAGCTGCCCCTTCAAAAATCTTCACGACATTAAAGAATCGTTGGCGAGGAGGGAGCAGGCGTGACTGCAGCTGATGCACAAAGAGGCCCCGAGGGAAGGTGTCCGCTGCCTCCCTCCGTCTAGTCCAGGTCAGAGCCCGGCCCCTGACCCCAGCCCCTGCCCCCTCCATGCTCCTGCTGACTCTGGCCGCAGGTCCAGCCTTGGCCTTTAATTTGTAGACAGGGTCCACCCCCCGCCCACCACGCGCTCAGGGGGCTTAAGGCGGACTGGACTTCACTTACTAGAAAATTCCTCCTGGACTTCTGGTCTGAAGACTTTGTCCAGTAACCTGATCTCCTGCAGCTCCTTCTCCTCCACCAGCAAGCGGACAATCCTGACACCCAAAAACCCTCCTGCTCCCGTCAAAAGGCATTTCCAGCCGGTCATGGCCAAATCTGGGTCCTAGAAGCGCTGGCCGGGAGCCCGAGCCCACTGGGAGCAGGCGGGAGTCGTCGCTGGGCCTTGGCAGGGAGAGAAAGGAGAGGCCAAGTGGCCACAGACTCACAAGCCCCTTTCTTCCCTTCACCCCCCTCTTATAAGTCCCCTTTTCCCCCTTGACACCCCACCACCTTCCAATAATGGAACGAAAGTGAAAAAAAAAGCTCTACCTGGTAGGTGGTTGAAAGCCAGACGAGAGTCTGGTTCCAGTCCCTTATCTCCCCGAGGCAGGTCTGGGTTTTATGTGCCCTGGCCTCTGACTCAGCCTCTTTGCCTTGAAACGGCTACATGCCTACTGGTCACTCCTCCTCCGGCGCCCTCCTCCCCAAAGAGTGGCAACATTCCACTTCTATCACTCACGCTTCCAAGGCGCAGGAAGGCAAAGAGATCTCAAGGCCACGGCGAGATAACCATTGGGTTCTAGCGTCAGCCACATCAGCTTCGAGGCAGCCCCCATCTGTGAGCTTAGACAAGCCAGGAGGCATCTCCCAGCACGAGGCATGTTCCTTCTGGTGCCGTAAATGATTCTGTGCCGGGGGCCGGGTCTACAATGACCAACCTCGCCGCTCACTCTTGGGGCGTCGTTTGAAATGGCATCTTGCAAAGTTTAGAAATTTGCAATGGCTGCAGCTTCAAGCACTAGCTTCCTGGGACTGGCTCCCCAACCCCCCCCCCCAGGACACCCAGAAGTCAGTTGGTTTTTCTTTCCCTCCGTAAGTCATGGACATTCTCCCCTTCCCACTTGGGAGCTGACTCCCTGTGCATCAAGCACATTTTTTTAGGAGTCAGGCCACTGAGTTGCAGCTTGTTTTGTGAAGTTATCAGCTTCAGATAAAGGTTCCTCGAGCTCTCTGAAGCTTGCAAAGCCCTATCTGTGGGCACCAAGATATATTACACACCTCTACCTGCAATAGTGGTGCTGGAATGAAGCCATGCACTGTCTCCTCCTGAGGGCTTGAGAACGTTGTTGGCTAATGTTTCCAGGAATTGCCTTCAGACAAACAGCCAAAGAGCAAGAGTTCAGATCTTTAAGTAGAGATAATTATATAGAAACTGAGCAATAAAATAAAGGACGGGTGGCTGGGGGCCACAATATTGCTCTTTTTTATTCCAAACCATTTTACTGAGATAGGATTTTTATGCCACAAATTTCACCTAAGTGTCTAGTTCAACTATTTGAGCAAAACTATGACTTGTGTAACCATCACCACAAATGTGTTGCAGGACATTTCTATCAACCCCCAAAGATTCCCAGGGCCCCCTAGTGGGCAGTGCTTGTCCCCCCCCAAGCACAATTTAGGACACCCCTAATTGAGTTTCTAATTCTATTGATTTGCCTTTTCTAGACATCCTGTAAATGTAACCATCAATCTGTGGTCCTGTGCATTCTTTGCTCTAACACAACATACTTTTGAAATTTACCTGTGTGATGACCTATATCAGTATTTTTGTTCCTTTTTGGGGGCTGAATACTATTCCCTTAGATAGATATACCATCTCTTTGATTATTCACGTCAACTGATGGGTAGCTGGAGTGGAGTAAGTGGAGTCCGTGTTTCCCCTTTTTGGACTGTGACAGATAAAGCTACTGTGCATATTCACAGACGTGGGTCTGTGCAGACATCTGTTGTCGTTTCTCCTGGGCATGTACTAGGAGTGAAGTTGCTGGGTCAGCATGAAATGAAGAAGGTGCTGAGCCGTTTTCTAAAGTGGCCTCTTCCTACCATTCATGTATAAATGTTTCAGCTTCTTTGCATTATTGTTTCTTTGTGTCTCCCAGTGGTTATCCCCCTGTAAAGAATTATAGTAATTCTAGGAGTTAAGCGATGACATGGTTTTGATTTACATTTCCTTAATGACTAATGATCTGTTCATGTGCTTTTTGGACAATTTATATGTTTTAGGTGAAATAGCTAAATCATTTGCCTCTTTTAGCTTTAATTAATTAGTCATTAAATCTCCTGACTTTATTTTAACTTAATAGACTTATTTATGTATAATTTGCATATCATTTAACTTAATAGACTTACTTATGTATAATTTGCATATCATTTCTTTCTAACTTTTCAATTCTATCCCATTGATCTGTGTGTTTTTATTCAAATACCATACTACAAACTCCATTTGTAGTTTAGTTTGAAGTGAGCAAACACGATATTCCATTTTTCTTATTTTCTCTCAGGATTGCTTTTCAGTCTAAGGTCTTTTGTGGTTCCATTAAAAATTTAGAAACAAATGTCACTGGGATTTTGTAAGCATTGCGTTGAGTCTGTAAACTGCTTTAGGTAACACGGTCATTCTTTCAATCCACAGACATGAGGCATCTTTCTATTTCTTGGTGCCTTTTGTTTCTTTTACCTGGGTGTTACAGTGTAGAGGTGTTACTTCCTTTGTTAAGTTTATTTCCAGGTACTTCAATGTGGTGCAATTATAAATGGGGTTGATTTCTTCTAATTTCTTATTTGCATATAGCAGTGTGACAGATTTCTGTATATTGACTTTAAACCCCACCTCTCCTGCATTCATTTGTTATTTCTAGTACGTGGTTGGTGGGTTCGGGTTTTCTCTGACATTCTCACACCATCTGCAAACACTGGTAGTGTTGTTTTTGGGGTTTCTTTCATGTCTTTTTCATGCCCAGTTGCTCTCGCTTGGACTTCTACTACTATGTTGAACAGCAGTGGTGAAAGTGGCCATCCTATTACTCCTGACCATAGCGAGAATGCTTCCAGTTGTTGACAATTAAGTATAACCTAAGCTATGGGTTTGTCAGGCATGACTTGATTATGTTGAGGTGCGTCCCCTTGATTCCCAATTTTATGAGAGATTTTACCACACGTGGGTGTTGAATCTTCCCAAATGCATTTTCTAGCAGCTCTTGAAATGATCATATGATTTTTATTCTTTTTGTTGATGGGGTGAATCACATTAGCTTGTGTCCCTCGAGTGGATCCCACTTGGTCATGACTCTCTCACTAGACTGATGGGTTTGATTTGCTCAACTCAAATGGACTTGTTACTTTCAAAGCCTGCTCTGTCAAAGCAGCCCACGCACGTCCCCTAACTGTCCCATACACCATCCACTAAAGCCACTGCTTATCCATCTACTGTGCGGGCAGGCTTAGGAGACCTTCCTCTCTTTCGATATGGGGAAAATGGTACAGTTTTGGAATTTTTTTGGGTAATTAAACGAGGTATATTCTCATACTCTATACTACTTCAGCATGAGGAGGGGACCTTGTGTTAGTAGGTGATAGGCCTGGTGAATCTTGGGCAGCTCCGCGATGCTGATACTAACTCAGACAAAGGCCACCCAGCTATCATGAAGGAGGCAGTAGCATTCTCTCCGCTGGAGATGGGGTTCAGGTGCCTCACCCACACTGTAATACTTGGCTGCCCCTCTCTAAGAAGAAACCCCTCCTTGATGCATACTTTAGATTAACAAAGGTTTCATCACTAGCAAACCCTGCAGGCTAACGAGCCTCCAGGCTAATGCCATCGAATCCATCAAGATACAGCAAGAGGTTATAGCTACCAGGAATTCAAGATATGGAACCACCACATGGAAGGAACGAAGGGACTCCAGCCTCTTCACCAAGCTGGATTAAAACTACCCAGATAGACCAATTTTCAGAAAACAGTGTTCGTGGGCCGAATGAGAGGCAGCTGGGGTCAAACCTGCACTCCAAGTAGGTTCGGCTGCTGCAAAAGACAAAGTATCTCGCATAAGGCCTTCTGTGGGAAAGAACTTTACTAGGACTGGTGTGCTAGTGAGAAAGGGGGAGAGTTGACAATGAAGCCCCCAAGTGACCCACCCCCGCGTGGGCAGATGCCCAGCCAAAGAGGGGTGCCCAAAGCGTGACTAGTGGGGCCCAAAGCTGCCAGTCTAAGGTGCCTTCTGGCAGGACCCACAGGAGAGGGGCGGACGGGGCCAGACAAGCCTGGAAGGACAGCAGCCAGATCAAAGCGCAAGTCCAAATACAGGCTGCCAGTGTCAGCCTCCCCGGGCTCCCAGCCACGACTCTGTCTCTTTCAGATGTCGCCTTCCATGACCCCAAATGCCTGGAGCAAATGCTGGGCCGAGAAGCCAGCGTGGCTTCTTCAATGTCTCCGCTCCACATGCCTTGCCCAGGTCCTCCAAGTTTCCTCCTATTCTTCTGTTCCTAGTTCTTTTCAGCTTCCCCTCAAGTCACTCAGCCCTTCTGGTGACGAGGTGGGGCCGGGAGCATGGGACGTTCCTTTCCAGGCGCTGTCACAGTTGCCAGCCCTCCCTCGCCCCGCACAGACTCCCTGGAGAGCTCACAGCCTCACTGCAGCCTTGCTCGGGGCCTGCAGGTGTGTCTCTATTACTTCTACTAGACCCCAGAATCACATTGTAGCTACAGGCACATGAAAGTGGCCAACATACTCTCCTCTTGTGAAGCTGGACCTACTCGACACTTCGGTTCTCTCAAGCACTCATGACAAAATCCTGATTTATTTGAGGGAGATGTAAGGCAAGTTCTAGATTTTCCCAAAGGCGCTGTGATCCTCTCCGCCCACACGCTTTATTGCTACATATTTTGATATTCAGAGTATGTCACAGTAGGACTGGTGGAAAAAAGCAAAGCAAAACCATTTTTCTTTGCAAATGTATAAAGTCTGCATAAAAAAAAGATGTCCCATTTAAGTGATTGCAAAGTGTGGGGTTGTGTTCCAACCTTCGTATGTTCTAAGAAAACTGATAAAATGTTTGTCAAATTACTTTCACAGAATCGGATACCAGATTTCAGTAATGAAATCATGCAATCATTCAAAATGTACATAAGCAAGGAAAAAATGATGAAATAATACGTGCAAGTTAAAGGATTTTTTGTAACTCACTCACAATAAAATAACCAAGTGGAGTTACGAAAGGGGTATATTACCGCGAAAACAGCACACACTCATCATTTTGCTGGTTAACAATGGCAATGAATTTCATCTGACAAAAGACTGTAATCTACTGCTTTTCATCACACTGGATAAATACATGTGAAAAAAAAACAACCTGTGCTTTTCACAAGATAATGAGTTAACTAGCTTTTCAGCGGGAGTGCCGGTGCACAGCTTCCACTCCACACATCTGAAAATGGAGCAGTTACTCCCAACAGTTACAGCTAAGCTCGGCCAAGGCTTCCAGAAAGAGCAGGCCCAATGCCTTTAACACAGCATCTACGAAGTGGTGGTAGCTAGACCCAATGAGAATCTTCCGGATACAGTGGCTTTTTGCCTCACACACATATCACTTGGTTTAAAAAGCAAACTGTGCAGCTCAGGGTTACTAGCAGGGTAAAGTCTTGGCAGCATATTGGACTTAACAAGGTGGTGGCTGGCAGCTCTAAGGAATATAGTTAATGATACCCTGTGTTATTAAGAGGGCCTCAAAGCGTCCGCAAAGGGAGAGAAGAAGGCAAGATGTCCCGGCCCGCACTTAGCGGCCGGGCTGGTGTTCGTCTGCTCCCCTGGGGCACGCGCCTCCTGGTAAACCCCCCTGTGATTTCTTAGATCCTGTGAGCCCTGAGAGCACCTGTCAGTGGATGACCCAGGCTGCGGGCTTCACAGGAGCCGTATGTGTGTGTGGGGGGGTGTTGCCCAGGACCTGGCGTCCTTGGGGGTCACGGGGAGTGTCTATTTCTCCTTTGGGGGTGAAGTCATTGGCTGCGCGGGGAGCCATCCACCGCCCAGGGCCTCAGCCCGGCCAGGGCAATCCTTCCTCGGCTAGCTTGTTTCCTTCACTTTGAGATGCCTAGGCACCTCGAACCCTCGTCCTAAACTCGGGGACCGCAAGCAGACAGTACTTTTTACAGTCTCAAGACTAGATGAGACACTGCAGGGGAAGAGGGTTCACGGAGACAAACCTCCCGGTACTGAATCCTGAGCCAACCCAGCAACGCCAGTGAGTGAGCAGGGCCGAAGCAGTGAGCGGAGAGACTGGGCACCAGGAGGACCGTACAGAAGGAAAGCAGAGGCGTCAACTCTGACGAGTCTCTTGGGTCCTATCCTGTGGCTGGCTCTTGCTAAAAAGTGCCCAGCTCAGGACTGAGGCCTGTCTTGCTGCTGGCTTAGGGTGCTTAGCTTCATTCTGTCCTAAGTCACTGTTTTCCTTCTGCGCCTGCTTGATCAAACTTTTTTGGATGAATGCATTTAGCCCATATTTATTCAGGGGCTTTCAGATATAATGAGGCTTTGATAAGGTACTGAGAAGTTTATCCAAGTCCCTGGGCAGATACAGAAGAACCATAAACTGGTAAGTTCACTGGATATGGTGCTGAGGGTTGGGTCAGGGTGATTTGTTAAATAGGGTTAGTTGTAGGAAAATGTCACTTCATTGGGGAGGTGGCATTGAAGCTCAGATATAAATGCCAAGAGCCATCCCTGGGAAAAAGATGGGGAAGGGCATTTTATGTTGAGGGAACTGTAAACATGAGAGCCCAGAGGCAAGAGGAAGTTGTGCTTATTTAAGGAAAGGGGAGGAGGCAATGTAGCTGGAACAGAGTGGTTGGGGGGGGGGGGCAGTGTTGAAGAGATGAGCTGGAAGGTTCCAGAAGCAGATGAAGCAGTGCCCTAGAGAGCTGGTGACCAGTGCAGAATTTACACCACATTGAACGGGATGGCTCAGAAAAGCCTTAAACCGGGCAGATACAGGACTTGTTCATGCTTTTAGAAAGCTCCTTGGCTGTTGTATAGCGAATGTGCACAGAGAAGGAAAGAACATGGAGGAGCCGGCTCGGAGGCTATTTATTTAGGGCACTGAGTTTCGTCCCGAAATTTCCTGATGTTTTCAAGTGTAGGGTCTCAAACAGTTGGGTGCCCCAACTCGAGAAATCTGAGTTAATCAGGGAACTGGGAAGTTTCTCCCTCGGTAAGGCATCTGCTGATTTTTGCACCCTCCTTTCCCACCCTCACTTATCCCCTTATTTCAGCCAGTCCATCCACCCACCCAGGAATGTTCCCTGAGCTGTGGCTGTGTGTAGGCAGGACCGAGTGGCCAGCTGACAGTCCACTATGCAGAGGGCCGTGCCCGTAGATACACAGGGCGTGTGCACCCCAGGTGGTGTTAGCAAGGAGCTGGGGGTAAGGACAGGTGGCCCCAGAATAAGGCCTTGAAAAATGAGTGAGACTTTCCCCAGATAACAACAACAAAAGATGTTCTTTATTAAGCGTTTGCTAGGGCTAAGCGCTATGCTCTAAGGTCATGCGCGTTGTCTTGCTAAGTCTCCCCCCGACCGAGCGGGCTCAGTGGCATCACCCCCATTTAACAGATGAAGTCACAGAAGAAGGGAGACGGGAACTGTCCCTCCGCACAGCCGTCCGGATGTGACACGTCTCTGAGACACAACACCATGTTCGTGGCCACGTTACTCCCTGCCATCTGCGGACGGCAGTGTGAGCTTCGGGGGGGATATTTTATACACACGGCTCTTCTGTGGGGGGTGCATATTTCCACCGTTGTTTCAACGAGATAGACAAGATGTGTAAAAATGTGAGCCACTATCTGTTTCGGTCATGACTGACTGGCCTCCTGAGTTATTTTCTTTGAGAGGAGGGCTTTCGGCTAGAGACCAGCACAGAAAGGCAGGTGGGCAAAGAAGTGCGTGTGCATTTGGGCAAGCTGAGGACCTTGGGGGACCTTGGGGCTGGAAGCACAGGGTGGAGGGGCTGAGGGTGCAGAGATGATGCGGGCGAGGGGGAGGGCATCTTCTCTGGACAAACTCTCAGTCCAGTCCCCAGCTCTTGGGCTTCACAACCTGGAGAACTGGATCAGGTCCCGGTTGATCTCGGCGACGCTCCGGCAGCCTGAAAGAACAACACAACTGCAGAGCTCTTTTCTCCCAAACACCAGCAACCTCCCCTTGGGTAGGGGGTGACCCCATGGAAACAAGCCTGATTTGGTGCTTGTGCTCGGCTTGCTGTGGGTCTGTGGCTCTATCGTCTTGTAACAGGGCGGTGCCAGGAGGGCATGGGAAAAAGATAAAACTGTGATTTTCTGGATCGATCAGTTTGTTGGTGTTATAAATACACTTGACCTTGATCTCGGCCCTCACGGGGTTTAACGATATCCAGGCTCCATCCGAGAGGACTGGACTCTGCACAACGGATGGGGTGCGGCCTTCACACAGCAACTTCTCTCGAAGGGGAAGTTCCAGAAAACAATACCCCTTTTTGTCTTCGTGAAGGATCTTAATTAAAATGCCACAATTAGGTCTCTGGCTGAGATGAGACGGAGCACTGAAGAAAGTAACTGCAGCTTAGACTAAAAAGAGAAGAGCGAGCGTGGGACATTGGTTTGGGCTGGAGAATTCCCGGTGACGGGACGGGGCGGGCAGAAACAGGGTTACGCCGCCTTCACCGCCCAAACCCAGCGTCAACAAGTTGTATCTCTCACAAAAACGTCACCGGGGGGGGGGGGGGGGTCTTTTCCTAAAATGGAAGCAGGACGGGGCTGCCTGTCATGTCTGGCTGCTGGTAGGGACCAGAGCAGTGGGAAGCCTCGGCAGAAACAGGAGCCAGAGCCAGTGATTAGGTACCCCAGAATAGCAGGGGCCGATGGACCCACCGGCTTCCCCCAGGGGAGCAGACCGGGGGCCCTGGCCCAGGCAGACCCTCCCCGTTTAAACTGTCAAAATGTCTCCACAGCTGCTTCAGTGACTTGTGACTCCGTTTGGGACCGTGTGGGACCTCTGTGCTCCCGAGACTGATGGTATTTGGGGCCTTTTCTAAGGGATCGTGTGAGCTCTCAGTAGCCTGGTGCCTGGGCCGCAGCCAGCACCAAGGACCTCGCTCTGCATTAGGAGGTCCAGAGGAAATTCAACAGAGAATAATCATATAAAAGCATAATTACATAGCCCACTTCTGCAGTGATTAGGTAGCAGAAAGCAGACTTATCGTTTGTTTCTGCTTTCTCACTATTGTGAGCCAGGGAATATTTAGACTCAGACCTTCTGCCCAGTTAGAGTGACGTGGGTAACTCCAAGCAGGAAACCCTGAGAGGGTGCTTGAGGCCTTGGGGTAACCTCGACTGGATGCCACTTCCATGTGACGTGGTTGTTTGCAAGATAAACCAAGATGTTAACCCTGCAGATTGATAATTTTGGCAACTGGCCTAGCAGTGGGAAAATGTTACTTTTCAACTGATTGTATTTGCAGCAATGGCACAAATAGGGTTTTCTCCCGGGGTTGTGAGGTCACTGGGGTCACACACCCAGGAGACAGGAGGAGAGAGCCTCAGGGAGGGCCCTGTGTTAGGTGACTTGGCAGTGGGTGCTGGGCACATCAGGGCTTGGTCTCACAGGTCAGTGAGTCCTGCGGCCCCACCTCAGCCAGGGGCTATCCCCAGGGGCTAGCCAGGGCCATTGTAGTGGGGAGCCCCACAGAGGAGCTGAGGAGACCTTCCCCTGCACGCCCAGCCTTCCTCTCCCCCATCCTCTTCTCTGCCCGGCTCGGTGGTTATTACTCAGCAGCTCCTACGACAGAACTTTCTCAGTGAGAGTGATGAGGAGGAAGACAATGAAACCCCCGCATCCAGGCGTCCTCACTGGCCACGCCCTGCGTCCTCCACACAGCAGCTTCTCCCCTTTGCCTCCCAGGCTGCGCCCCGACACCCCCACCTCAGTGGCTTTAAGGACGACACTCGGTGAAATGAAAGACCCTGTGCCTGTGAATCCCCCTCACAATCTTCTGTTTTAAAAAGTTCCGTCGTCCGTGCATGTGGTGGGAGAAGATCAGTTTGGGGGTGCAGGAGAAGTCAACTCAGCTGCCTGGAATCGGAGAGCCCAGAGCTTCCTCTCCCTTCCCCCGGGAGCCACTGACACCAGCGTGGTGGCTCTGCCCACCTGTGCCCGCCCTCCTGAGCGGGGCGGTGACATGGGCCACCTGTCAGCTTGTCTTCTTAGACCCGAGACGTGCTCTGGCACGAGCTGGCCCCCGGCGCCCCAGCCGTGACGATCCCCCCTTCCTGTTCATCTGCTGGGTGGAAGGGGGGCCGGTGTGGGGTGGAGGTGCCCAGATGCCTAACGCCGCTCAAGCCCTGCAGCGCGGGTTTCCGCCTGGAGGGCACATACGCTTGGCCCTTCAGGACGAGAGGCTTCCCTGAAAGTCAGCCCCAAGCCGGACTTGGAAAGACCCAGCTGTCCGCCTCGAGCCTGGCCCGGGGCACCTGGGCAGGGGCGCCCGAGACCTCCGTGCAGCGACGTGAGGGCGGCCTGGTTCATTGTTTCCTCCCGTCTGCTTTCACCAGCGTGTAGACTGGGAGCGGCGTGGAAGTGGCAGCAGAGTTCACCTTGCTGTCCTGACACGTGGCCGCCAACCACCACCGCTGGCAGCTCAGTCGCCAGGGGGCCACTGGCCACGGTGGCAGGCTGGGCCAGCCCTGACCTAGGACACTGCCCAGCGCTGAGGACACCTGCGTGCTGGCCTTGGGCACCAGACCCCCACAGCACCCGCCTCGCAGCCACTGCGCCCACCAGGCGACCCAAGACAGGTGTCCAGCAGAGGGGACCCCTCCCCGGCCGAGAGCCCTGATTTAACAGGGTGCCTGGGCTCCTGGCTTTGTTGAAAAGCTACGTTTCGAGGGCATGCTTTATGACAATGTCCCTCCCGATGAAGTCGCTGCGGGGAACCTGGCGGCACGGGCGACCGTCTTCCTGCTTGATTTACCTGCCCGGGTCCTAGACCCCCCTGTAATGTCATATCTGACGTAATTTCTTCCCAGTCCGTGGATGTTACTTAATGAAGACACCCACAAGCCCGACGTGATCTGGGCAGGTCGGCGTAGGCGGGGACCCCCTTCCCCAGTCTGAAGTAGCCTCTGCTTTCCAAAGCGTGGCAGAGAAGGCACATTCTGAGCTGTGCGGGGCTGCTGGGCCATTTCTGGGGGGCAGGAAGGCGAGCCTGGAGGGGACACGCACCCCTCTTCTGCAGAGGCTGCTCTTGCTGGAAATCAGTGAGAGAATTTCTAACACTTACCGGTCAGAGCCATGGACGTGCGGAATTCATCTTTCAAAATATCCAAAACTTCCTTAACGCCATGTTCACCCTGTTTGGATACAAAGAGGGGGACACAAGACCCCACGAAGGGACACTGAGCACCTGAGCGCAGCCCCCAGCTGGCCCAGCTGGCCCGGCGCTGTCTAGGGTGGCGCCAGGCTGGGGTACAAAGGGGCAGAGGCCAGCAGGGGCGAGCTCCCAGGCGGTCCCCACTGGGCGCGGCGGGTCCCAGCGCAAGGCCGCTCACCTTGCAGGCCAGGCCCCACAGGACCGGCCTGCCTACGAAGACGCACTTGGCGCCGAGGGCCAGGGCCTTGAGCACGTCGTTGCCGGAGCGGACTCCGCCGTCCAGGTACACCTCCACCTTCCCTTTCACGGCGGCCACCACCTCGGGCAGGGCGTCGATCTGGAAAGCAGACCCGGGCGCCGTTTCCACCTGCAGCCTGGGGGCACCGGGCGCAGAAGGGTGCCCTCGCGTGGCCACGCCGCGGAGCCCAAGCTGGGCCTCCCCGTTTCTCCTCTGCTTGAGAGCTCGAGGTGGCCGGGCCTGAGCCCCGCAGCCCCCAGGGCTCCCTGAGAGCGCTCGCTCCTGCCTTTGTCGCCCCGGTTGCGGCTTCTCCCTGACAGCCTCGTGGACCCCACGGTGTGGCGAGCTGAGGGGCCGCTCACACCCGAAAGGGGCGCTTTCCACGGGCGACAAGCGCCCTGGCAGCCGTCCTCTCTAAGGACAGCTGGACTGCCCACCCACGCCCGTTTCGGGGGTCCCGGCCAGACGTTCCTCCCACGCTCACGCTCGGTCTTTGTGATGAATCAGGCTGCTGCGCCCGGAGCGCATCTGCGGCTGCGCGCACGAGGGCTGCAGGACTCTGGCACGCGCCTTTCAGCGGTGCGCCCCCTTATCTGAGCCGTGGGGTGGGCGTGGCAAGTGCAGAAGCAGCCGCCACTGGCCGGCTAACGCCCCACCCCGCCCCAGACCTTGTGTTCCATTGGCCTCTTCAGTCGGCTCTGGGGCCAGTCTGGAGCACCCGGCACCAGCAGCCCCAAGCGGAGGGTGGGGAACATCAGAGGCGGGTCCTTGGGACAAGGACGACTCCTGCCTTGGAGACCACATTCTGTGCTCTTTGAGGGTGCACCTGGGCCTATGGATTGGTATGTTCCTGGGCTGGGGAAGTTGGGGCGCTTCGTCCTCACCAGACTGAGACAGAGCAGGCTGGACGCAAGCCCGATGCACTTAGAAACGACTGGCCTCTCAGATAAGCAGGAACACGTTTGTCTACCCCCATCTCTTGCAATTTCCCTCCTTGTTTAACAGGAATGGTCTGCCAGGCCCTGTGGGTCACTCCCTGGCCGGGGATCGAACTCATGCAGCGGTGGCTACAGACAGCTTCAGGGTGCTGAGACTCATCCCTGAGCCGCTAGGGAGGGCCCTAAAGCAATACATCTTAAAAAAAAGGTCCTAAACCTCCCAGGTGAATGCCCACACATGGAGCTGGAGGGGCGATAGGGTACCTGGCATGGCCGCACGCCCCAGACACGTCCCTTCGAGCCCTTCCACTCACAGAGGCGGGGACCTCGTCCAGCTGCCGTCCCCCGTGATTGGAGACGATGATGCCATGGACATTGTGCTTCACTGCCAGCTCTGCGTCCTCCTTCGTCAAGATCCCTTTCAGGATGACAGGCAGCTCCGTCAATCTCTGAAACCAGGAGAGGTCGTCCCAGCAGATGGAGGCGTCAATGGGCGTCATCTTGAGGTTAGGCGTTGAGCTTCTCTGCCGGGATAAAGAGACACTCAGGGCCTCCCTGGTGGTGGAGTGGTTGAGTCTTGGCACTATTAAGCTCTCATCAGCCCCTGCGGCCTGAGTTCCATCCCCGGCCAGGGAGGGACCCACAGGGCGCAGCAGACCTCTCCTGTCTCCCCGCTGCTCCCCTCAGCAGTGGATTTCAGTGGCTCTACCTGTTCTGCTCCCTGCTCTATCTCTGGGAAGTCCCCTCACCCCCACACCTCTGGCCTGCACCCCAGTTCTTGCATGCATAATAAATCTCAAAAAAAAAAAAAAAATAAGAAAGAGAAACTTAGTCCTGCATCCTTCAAGTCTGATCCACCCCAACGGGAGACACATCTGGCGAGAGGAGCCACAGAGGAGCCATCCTCCGTCCTGCCCTAACAAAGTCAGTGACCAAGTGTCTACTCCCATTGCTTATTGGTTAGCCAACATCGTGTCCTGGAGTAGTCAGAGCATTGGAGACACAGAGACAGACAAGACACAATGCGTATTTTAGAAAAGTCAGCGAGGCTCTGCGAGCTGAGATGAGGATTCCAGAAGAACCCGCGGCCAGCCTGGCCCGTGAGCGGAACTGCTGAGTTACTTGACTGGCAGCGGCTGCCACAGCGGCTCTTGCAGCCACAGGCTTCCGCCCTCACTAGTGCTTGCTTGCTCGGGGGTGCTCTGTCCCTCTGGACTGCCGGGTCCTAGTGGGCAAGTGTGCTTTTACAGTCCTGATGAACTGTGTGTAGTGCCCAGGGCTGCCTGGACATTTCTAGGTGTGAAAAAGATAATGGCGATAAGGAGCCCTCGGTCCTCCGGCAGCAGAGTGGGTCTGCAAGCTGCAGCGCTGGCCCTGAGCACCCTCTCCCAGGGCCATTTTCCAGATGGGCCGTCCAAGATGATCATTTTCCAGGTGGCCACCACGTAGAAAATGTCAGAAGAACGTGTTTAAGTTCCACGTGAAAAATCTTTCCCTACTTGGCCCGTTCGTCGGTTTTCTGATTTCTGGGGCCAGACCCTTGTTGGGGAGAACGTCTGTTTTCCGAACTGCTTGCCTGAAAGTCCTGGGCAGCAGAAGCAGACCTGCTGACCTCCCCGGCGCTGGGACTGGGCGTGCCCCAGGCTGTCTTGGGCAGAGAGAAGGGCTGGGGTGGGCGTTGCCTCCTCTCGCCCCGCCCCTGGACAGTGTCCTTCCTACCTCCTTGGGCGACTGAAGATCCTTCAGCAGTAAGTTCGACTTCAGGTCCAGCTGGTTTCGAATGTCGTGTCGCCTGTTGCCGAGCGTGGGGACATCCACAGTGATCACCAGGGCCTTGAAGCCCAGGGACTCTGCCCGCTGGATCAGACGCCTGTTCAGCTCCCGCTCCGGCTGCACGTAGAGCTGGAACCAGCGCAGGCCCCGGGGGGCAGTGGTGACGATATCCTCCAGGCTGCAGCTGGCGTAGGTGCTGGTGACATAGCAGATGTCGGCTGCTTGGGCGGCTGCAAAGCAAATTCACAGCTCGGGTTGGGGGACAGGGGCGCCCTGGACCCGGGGGGGGGGGCAGCCCTGGAGTCTGTGTTGGCTCTGGCCAGCTCACTCCTTCAGAGAAATAAGTAAAACTTGCCCATTCTGTTTCCCTACAGGGCCAGGATAGGAGGTGTTTGATCAGACAGGGGACCCGAAAGGTGTCGGGACTCCCCTTTGTGGAAGCTGGCTAAGAAGCCCTGAAGCACTGGCCCTG